GGAGTAACAGAAGAGAATTGCCCAACCTAGCGAAATCAGCAAAAAACAAAATGGATCATCTCTCAACAGTACTTGATAAATCAAATAATTGTATTCTAACAATTTATAAGTGTAAAAATCAATAACGAAACAAAGCGAATATCTGCGAAAGTTTCGTATTATAATAAAACCAAATTCGGCGAATTACAAGAAAGTACAGCGTCAAATCCAAATTTTATAGATGGCCTGTGCAAGTTTCTTTTTCAACATCCTTGAATTGGCCAGTGTCAATACATCCTTTATTAAAAAAAACAAGTGAACAAAATATATGCAGACAAAAATTTCTAATACAAACAGCAGAAGAGTTTGCCGAAGACTACCAGGAATTTCTCCAAAAAGAAAAGGAAAATGTACGACGAATATCAAGTGGCCAATGTAATATTTCGCATTCGCGAAAAACATGCCAAGTAGTATAAGTTGGGGAGTTCTGGAGCACGATTCCTGTAACCGACATATACCGACACTCAAGAACCTTCGAAGGTGGGTGTCCGTGCTAAGTTGCCGGCGTGAGCTCTACGATTTTCGGAAGTGACGTCACCGAGATGCCCTATTTTCTAGGAATTTATGGGGGATTCTAGGAATTTTGCGTCACATTCTGGGAATTTTGTGCTCGATTCTAGGAATCGCACTCGATCGAGAACCTTCTAGAACATTCTAGAACCTTCTAGAAGCTTCAACGGTTCGTGTCCGTGCTAAGTCGCTGAGGATCGCTCCCAGAGCTGACGATCCTCTCGCGCGACGTTTTGATGGAGCCACTTGCCCCCCACCCCAGGGAGCCTTCTAGAAACTTCGATGAACCCTCTTCCTCCCTCCCGATCCGTGTAGATTTCAGACGGCAGCCTTCAGCCGTTTTGACCTTGAACGTTATCACGCCGAATTGCGCATCAAAGATACAGCAGCTCCAGCAGCATCATTTCCAGGAAATTTGTCAGCTCTCGTCAGCCATTCGATTCCAGGAAGCCTCTGTGCAGGTTTCGAACGGCAGCCCCCCTCCACGAAGCTTACCTAAGTCAGCAAAAATCAAACAAGGAAGCGATTCATTTACTCATGTTGGAAACAAAAATGTATTCGCATAGAGATGACGTAGACATGGAAGACGGTAGTGTTTATCACTTTGCTTGGACACGAAATCTATCCCGTTTACTGAGTTCACAAATTTCAAAGCATCATGGTTTTACCAGACTGTGTGACAGATGTGTATGTCACTTTAGATTAGACTTCCGTTTACGGTGTGAAAGTGACAGTAGAGTGTGTGATTGAGGTGCGAGAATTTTGGTTTGGTGAGAGAGATATTAAAAGAGCAGAAAAGAACTAAGGTGGGGAGGTATAGAGGAGCGTGCGGAAGTGAAAATAGAATATTAGAAAAGGTTGAGGGAGTGCTAAAAGAGAGGAAAAGAAGGGGTGTTACGCGAACAAGCGGTTAGGTTACAGTCGGGGTGGAGAGAGGGAACAGAGGTAGAGGCGGGAATTTGAGCAAGCGGGAGCAAAGAGGCAGGTGAAAAGCGAGTAGGTGCGGGCATCTGACGGGCAAAAGAAGAAGTAGTGGGCACGAGGAAGTGGTGAAGGAGAGAGTGGTAAAGGTAGGGAAAGCGCAGAGCGGAGAGAGATACAAGCGAACAAGAAACGGCGATAGTGAGGGAGTGGAACCGGGCGGGAACGAGAACAAGGAAGGAAAGTAGCAAGACCTAGAGCGAAGAGCGGAATAAAAGAAATAGAGAGACACTATGTGGGGGAATGGTAAAGAGGGAGAGGGAGGGAGAGAGGAGACAGGGAAAAAAGGGAGGAAGACAAACGCGGAGAGATTAATGAGAGAAAGGAGTGCAAGTGCAGGGACCTTTCAGCGAATAGGGGAAATGTGGAAAAGAAAGAGAGAAAAAGAAGAAGAGGCGGAACAAGGAGAAGTCGAAGAGGCGAGAGCTTTTCGAAAAAGCAGAGTGGTGCAGAGATCGCCGACAAAGTAGACGGAGGAAGGTGGAATGATGCAGAAAATATTAGAGGAGATTAAGGAGGCCATAAAAAACGAGATAAGGGAAGTGAAGGAAGATATCAAAGAGCAGGGAAGGGAAATGAAAGAAGGAGTAACAGCTTTGAGGGACGAGATGAGAAGGGCAGAGGAAAGGTGGAGGGAGGAAAGAGAGGAGATAGAAAGGAGAATCCAGACAGTGGAGGAGAAGGTAAAGAAGGGGGAAAGGAAAGATAAGTTGATAGAGGAGTTACAGGAGAGAGTGAGAAAACTGGAAACAGGCAAAGGAAAAAAGCAAGGAGACAGCGATAAGGTAGTGGAGGGTAGCGGGGAGGGAAGGAGTGAGGTGATGGAGAGGCTGCCGGAAATGAAGAGAAGGGTGGAAAAGGGTGAAGGGTTGGCGAAACAAACGGCGACGAGAATCCTAGAAGAGTTGGGAGTGAAGGCGAAGGTAGCAGGAGGGAAAGAGATAGGCAGAAGAAAAGCAGGAGGGAAGGAGGTAACGCTGGAGGTGAGAATGGAAGATATGTAGGGAAAGATCGAAGTAATGAGGAAGAGAGGGAACATAAGAGGGAAAATCAAAATAGAGGATGACCTAACGTGGAAAGAAAAGAAAATGCAATGGTTGCTGAGGGAAATAGGGAATGAGGAACGAAGAAGAGGGAAGAGAGTTAGAGTGACATATGGGAAAATAACGATTAATGGAGTAACATGGTTCTGGGACGAGCAAAGAGAAGTACTAAGGGATGGAAGGGGAAGGAACAGAACAGAGGGTAAGTGGGGGAAAGGCAAGAGAGATTGCAGGGGGAGGATAGGACGAATGAGGAAAAAGGGGAAAGGGAGAGGTCGGCGGATAGGATAGACGTGAAGGCAAAAAACGGTTAGAGGGAAAGTCACGGGAAAGGGAAAGGAAGGAGGAGAAGCAAAGGAGGGAGGGTAGCTGGAAAGTGGCTTTCTGGAATGTCGCAGAATTATGGAATAAAGATAAGGAATTCTGGAAGGAAATAAGTGAGTGTGAAGTTATGGTGATGGTAGGAACGTGGGTAGTGGAGAAGGGATGGGAAAAGCTGAAGGGGAAACTGCCAGGGGGTTACAGATGGACCAGGCAGGGGGCAAAGAGAAGAAATAAGAAAGGAAGGGCAATGCGAGGAATGCTAATGGGGGTAAGAGATGAGATGGTAACAGATGAGGAGAGAGAGCAGGGAGAGGAGGAGGGGCTGATAGTAAGGAAAGTGAAAGCGGGAAGAGAAAGGTGGACGGTGATGGGGGTATATGTAAATGGGGATATCGAAAGAAAAATAGTGAAGGGGAAAAGGTGATAATAGGAGGAGATTTTAATGCAAGGACGGGTACAGAAGGCGGACGAGTGAGGGGGATAGGAGAAGAGGAAGACGAGAAAAGACAGTCAAAAGATAGGAAAGTGAACGGGGAGGGAAGGAAACTGATAAGAGCGGTGGAGGAGGTAGGATGGTAGATCTTTAACGGGAACATTCAAGGGGACGAGGAAGGTGAGTTTACGTACACAGGAGGAAAGGGGGACACGGTGATATATTATGTGGTAGGAGACGAAAATACAAGAAGGGGGATTGAGAGGATGATAGTGAAAGATAGGGTCGAGTCGGATCACCACCCAGTGGTAACCATAAGGGAGGGGAGAGAGGAAAGAAAGGGAAAAGAAGTGATGATAAGGACGGCGGGAAGGGGAAAGTGGTTGGAGAAAATGAAGGAGGAGTATGCGAGAGAGATGGAAGGAGTGAAGGTAGAAGGAGAGGGAATACAGGAAATTATAATGAAGGCTGAAGAAAGAATGAAAGAAGTGATAAGACGAGGGGAGGAGAGAGGGGGAAAGGAAAAAAGACAAAGAAAGGAAGGATGGTGGGACGAAGAATGTAAGAAGAAGAAGGCGGAAGGAAGGAAAGAGCTAAGAGAATGGAGGAAAGGAAGAGGAACGAAGGATAGGTACCGAGAAAAGGAGAGGGAGTACAAAGAGATATGCGATAGGAAGAACGGTGAAGAACAGGAAAGAGCTATAAGAGAAATAGCGGAGGCTACGACCGAGCATAAGGTATGAGAGATAGTGAATAAAGGAAGGAAGGGGAGGAAGATGGTAAAAGAAGGAATAGGTAAAGAAGAATGGAAAGAGTATTTCATGAGTTTACTAGGGGGTGCCGAAGAAAGGGCTAGGAGAGGGACGGGAGGAGAAGAGAGAGAGGAAGAAGAGGAAGAAAAAAGCAGAGACGAAATTAGAAAAACGATACAAAAGATGAAAGAAGAGAAAACAGCAGGAAGAGATGAGATACCGAATGAAGCATGAAAATGAGGGGGAGAAAATACGGAGGAAATAGCATGAGAGATATGCAGAAGAGTTTGGAGAGGGGAAGGGTGGAAGGAAGGGATCATAGCGCCAATAGTAAAAAAAGGAGAAGGAAGGAAAGTAGAGGACTACAGAGGGGTAACTCTAATGCCATGTTTATACAAGGTGCATGCGACGATATTGACAAAGAGGCTAGAGGAAGAGGTAGAAAGGAAAGGCATGATCCCGCAAAATCAGACAGGATTCAGAAAGGGAATGGGGACAATCGACAATATATACGCGCTGAACTACCTGGTGAACAGGCAGAAGGGAAAAGAGAAGGGGAAACTGGTAGCGCTATTTGTAGACCTGAAGGCGGCTTCTGACTCGGTTGATAGGCAAGTGCTCTGGGAGACGATGGAAAGGAAGGGAGTAAGAAAGGGACTCAGAGAGAGAATAGAGGAGATTTATAGAGAGACACCGAGCAGGGTGAAAGTGGGAGAGGAAAGAGGGGACGGATTTTGGACGGCAAAAGGAGTGAGGCAGCGGTGCCCGCTAAGCCCGCTGTTATTCAATATACTGACGTCAGATATGGAAGGAGAATTAAGCAAGGGGAGAAGAGGGGGAGTAATACTTAGGGAGAGGGAAATACGTACAGTAGCTTACGCGGACGACGTAGTAGTTTTGGCGGAGAATGAGGAAGACATGGAAGTACTGATAAGGAGATTAGAAAGGTATTTTGACGCGAAGAAGCTCACAGTGAACGTGGGAAAAATGAAAGTAATGAGGTTCAGAAAAGGAGGCGGGAGGCAGAAGCAGGTGGACTGTGGATGGAAAGGGAAAAGAATAGAGGAGGTAAAGGAATTCAAGTACTTGGGATACACCTTTAAGAAAAACGGGAAACAGGATGGACATATTAAGGAAAGAGTGAAGAAGGCATATGAAGGTCATGAAGCAGGTGTGGGGGATAGGAAAACGGAAGTTTGTAAAAGTATGGGAGAGGAGGATGTGGTTATTCGACACACATGGGGATAGGAAGAGCGAGAAGAGATGGAAAGGGTACAGGAAAGATATATAAGATGGTCACTAGGGGTAAACTGGAGAACGCCCGGGTATATGGTGAGAGAGGAGGTGAAGAGGGACAAAATAATGATAAGGGCAGGGAGAAAGCGTGGAACTACGAGTTAAAACTGAGAAAGGGGGGAGGGAGCGAAATAGCAAGGGAATGCTTGAGGGAAATAAGGGCGAGAGAAGGAAGAGAATGAGAGGGTATATCGAGGTGGGAGAAGGGTAGGAAAGAGCGCAGAAAGGACGGAGAGAGAGAGCAGGATGAGGAGGGGTACGAGAGGAGGGAGAAGGAGGAGAAGGCGGAACAAGAAAGGGAGAGGAAAGAGAGAATAGGGCAGTTGGTACGACAGATGGTACACGGAGGTGAGAACAGAGGAAATACTAAGGTACCTAAAAGCAAGATGGAGCGAGGAAAGATACAGAAGAATAGCAAGGTATAGATTAGGAAATGAAATGAAGGAAGGAAAATACTGGGGGACAGAGGAAGAAAGGGTGTGTGAAGTATGCGGCGAGGAAAGAGAGTCGTGGGAGCATGTACTGGATAGATGCGGAGGAGGGAGCGGGGAGGAAAGAGGGATGGGTGAAAGAATAAGGAAAATACTAGACGAGGGAGGAAGAGGAGAAGAATGGTTGAAAGAATCGGATAGGAGAAGAGAGGGATGGGAGAGAGAGGGGCAGGAGGAAGAGAGGCAGAATGTGGAGAATGAATGGAAGAATGGAATGAATGAGGAGGAAACGGAAGTCGGGAAAGTGAAGAAAAAAGGATAGGAGGAGATGAGATAGGAGTAGGATAGGAGAGAGCGAGCGAGGCGAGTGAGAGGCAGAGAGCTAATAGAGTAGTGAGCGGCGGAGAGAATAAAACGGGGAGATAAGTGTAAAAGGAATGGAAGAATGGAAGGATGAGTATACACGGGAAGGAACGGAGGCAGGGGGAGAGACCGGACACCAAGCAAGCGAGAAATTGTAAGAAATTGTAAGATACCTGTAAAGTAAATATAAGGTTAGGTTGTAAGAATGTAAGAAGCTGTTAGGTTGTAAGAAAGTGTAAGAAACTGTAAGATACATGTAAAGTAGATGTAAGGTTAGGTTGTAAGGAAAACGGAACACGATAAATATATTACATACACTAAGGGGAACCAAGAAATACATTACATACACTTTAGATTAAAAAAGTCTTTCGAAAAACATAGACTCAATTATGCAAATATAAATAAATGCAGAGTCGTAATACTGGATGAAAAAGATAAAATTATGAAATTAAAAAATTATAAGTATAAAGAACCTATCCCGTTTGTCGTTTCTGCTGACATCGAGTGCATATTAGAGCCAACTACAAATAAGTATAACTCGTTAAACACAACTCTTTAACAAAGACACGTTCCACACAGTATAGCGTACTATTTACAATGTAACTTTGACGATTCTATCTCCAAATTTAAAATTTACCTTGGGAAAGATTGCGTGGAATGGTTTATGAATAAATCAAAGGAATTAGCTCAAATTATAGAATTTTACCTAAAACGTATCGTACCAATGGAATCTCTAAATTTCAAAAAAAAGAAATGAATCTTACTCGGCTAAGATTTGTCATATTTCTGAAAAACAGTTTACACCTGAGGATACCAAGCATCATGATCATTACTATTTTACAGGCAAATGTCGCGGTGCTGCACATCAGGGGTGTAATTTGAACTATAAGAACTCACATACCGTACCTGTCATATTTCATAACATATCTAGTTATGATTCACACTTTTTAATTAGAGCTCTAGCTACATCTTTTGAGGGTTCAATGAATCTTTTACCAGTAAACAAAGAAATATATATGTCTTTCACGAAGAGTGTCACAGATACGATTGTTACGTAGGCCGTAGTGGCTAGCGAGGTCTTTAAATCTGATAACAAAAATTTAGAAGTAACCAAAAGAAAAGGAACGACCAGAGGTAACGTGAATAATACTTGAGTGAATTCCGAGCGGTAAGAATGCACTCAATGGTGGGTTCGCTGCTCGTTTAAGGTGTTGAAACACGCCTTGCTATTCTAACGTCGATAGATATTCCCTAAAATGTTCAAGGACGGGTAATAGATATTTAAGACGTGAGTAAAATGTGAATTTGCGATATATTGTTACAAATAATTTAAAAAGTTTTAATTAATTGTTGTGTACAGTGTTTCGGTTATGAGAAACACTGGGATAAAAAAATTGTGAAATTGGATTACAAAACCTGACTGTATGTGAGGTTAAGGCAAAAAGGAATTGGGAGGAACAGAAAATTATCTAGTATATGCGTTACTTGGAAATACTAGTCTATGCAGTTCAATTTTGCCCGGTAACCGATCCAGCTTGTTCCCTAAGGTATGTAATAACGAATCTGTACCTAGGCCAGATTGCGAATATTACACTGAATCTAATACTCTAACTGTTAGAGCCACGAGCAACAACGTGCAGTCCGATCTTTTGCGCGTGAAACTGAATGATTTTCTGAGCGTCAGTGCCATGATTTTGGCTGCTTATATAGTCGATTTTTGCTGATGCTCTAGGTATGGTTAGGACGTTAGGAATGCACTCAACTAATCAGCTGGGTAGGTGACACAGGCAGTGCACTGGGTAATGTGCTGAGTCTGCAATTATATTGACTGTCGGCTACGCTATTATTCTGTTTCAGAATGAAGGCCGATATACGTAACATCTCCCCTCTTAGACAAAACATCGTCTATTTGGGCGATGCTTTTGCATAAATTTATGTTTCGTTTTGCGTTCTCCCGTATTTCTCATTGACTCACTTAATTATGCATCTTCAGAGATAGTTTTCGAAAATATCTCTTTATCGATGTGCGGCCATGCTGCCCTGATACAATATGTCTTGGTTTCTCCTTTAGGGATTCCCCTGGTATGAAGTCACGGATGGTGTTGTCAGTGACTTCCTCTGGTTCGATAAGGTAGAGGCCCTAAATTCGGCTTCAGTTCTAACTTTTTGGAAATAGTAAGGATGGATAGAGACCCTATACGACAGCATCAGTTCTATCCGGGAAGGTTTCGAGTAATTGTGAATACTCTGATTTCGGTATCTTGGATAAGTTTTAGAGGTTCTTGGTATATTTAATATATTATCTTTGACTTCACTCGCGACTCTAATTGGAACCTTGACTTCAATTGTACGCTAGACAACTCTGATGTTGTTCTCTTAATCTCTTTATCCACATCACCCGAATGCGACTTCTGACTCCCTTTTTATAGTAGTAAAACTACTTCTGATTGGTCGATGTGACTCCCCTTCCTCAAAATTCCTAACATATCGATTGACAACTAACCTTTTTCCAATAATCAATATACCAACTCGTACTCTGTAAATTCAAACTCCTTGAATGTTATCTGAGAAGATTCAGGCTTATCCTTTTATTTATATCTTCATTGTTTGATATTAACAAAATATAATTCAGTATCGTTATGATTAATATATCGTGTAATAAAGATTAATGATTATTTGGTTAAATGATTATAAGAATATGATGTGTGCCTATTAATAATTGTAAGGCGTGGAATGTAACAGTTGTGACGTGCTGGGCAGATTATTACTGCCCAGAATCCGCGCAAACTAGCTAATCGCAATAGACAGGGGAAGGGGAACGCTAAAAGAAAGGGGAACACGGAGTAAGATAGAAAGAATATAATTAATAAGATACAATGCCAATACAAAGAAAAAGAGAACAGAAACGAAAAGATACTCAAAAAGAAACCAGGATGTTTGCAATGTAATAATGCAAAAGACGTAACTCTAGACTACACGCAATTAAAACAATACACGCAGGTGCTCGCTCGGGAGCACGCGGTGTCGGAAGGGACCTTTAAACGGGCTGGGGGGAAGGGGAGTCGGGGGACGGAGGGGTATGATATGGGCAAGGGGCAGGAGGGACAGGGGGGCTTACCGGCACGAAATAATACGCAAACACAATACTTTGGACGCCAGCTATTTATACGGCGTAGCACTGCCGAATGACCTCAGAAGGTCCTCGAATATTTACTAGGATTTGAAAAGGTACGGCTAGCGGGGGAAGAGGTGAGGGGTCTCAGGAAGAAAAGTTCCCGAACGCGATAACGGCTGCTTACTATACCTCGGTGGGAACGCGAAAAAGGGCAGGGAAGGGAAAGGGCACGGGGGTTTTCCAAAAAGGGTGCAAGTATTAAATTCGAACGCACGCAATATGCCACTGGCCGCACGCGATTGGCGGAAGGCCAGACTGAAACTCAAAAAGATCTACTAACGTAAAAGAACAAGAGGCCGGTCCACGTGGGAACAGCTCGCTAAGTCTCTGGACTTCTGATCCCCTTCTGAGGGGATCTATACTCAATATAAAAGCGCAAGTAGGAAGAGGGGGTAGGGAAAAGGGTGGCAAAAAGGGGAAACTCAATCAAGCAAAATAGTACTCACTCGAAACGTGACTTGATATAATCCAAAAAGATTCCACACACTTTCACACAATTCGCAATACACAACCGCACTCGCTCGCTCGCAACCTGGCTCGAAGTGCAGATCTCTTGCCGATTTCTGGTCCTCGTTGTTTCCGTTCACAGGCCTCCAGGGCCTCGGGGATTGGTTGGATCGCTGGGCTGAGAGGGCTACGCGCTCTGGCATTGATCGGCAGTTCCGGCATGGCAGGGTATTGGTCCTTTCCGCTGGCGGGCCTTCCAGGGCCTCGCAGGCGGGTGGCACGGCACGCACGGCAATGGGCACGCTTCGGCGGCGCGCGGGCTGGCTGTCGCGCACCGGGCAACATGGCGGCCTCCAGGCCTGTCAAAATTCCTGCCGGGCACATCCGCGGTTTCGGAGGGATTGGGCTCCAGCGCTGTCACACGGGCCTCTTTACTACCCGTGTGACGGGAATGCACCGGGGCTGCATCTCTGTGGCGATGGTGCCGGCTGGCGGGCATCATCCCACGGGAGTCTCGATCAGCTGTTCCTCCTGTCCATGCCATCCCTGCCTTCCGTTGCCTCGGCAACGTAGCCACTCTCACCGTCCATCCAGAGATGATGTGTCCTCGTAGATGGTCCACGGTAGCGGTCCTCGATGATGGTCCTCGAGCCAGTGCCATACGGGGAATGGTGACAGGAAGGGAAGGGCGAAGGGGAGTGATCTTATTCTAAATACAATAGACCTAAAACACTAAATAGACGCAATAAACAGTAATTCCCAATACCGTACGCAATACTCGTGCTCGGGGCCAGTGGTGCCCTCGAGCCAGGTGGTGGGGAGGATTTTATTGTAACATTTTTGTTACACAGTATATAGGATTATTCAGCACTACTGTACCTTATAAAGATGGTTCTACCACAGGAGTAATTAGAAATCAAATGGACGTATTAAAAATGCAGGTGGTCCTGAATAACCATGAATAATAACGTATTTTTTGCTGAAGTGTAACGATTTTATTTTTCAATTTAATATTTTCAGCATTAATATTTTGATAAACGAACCGAATCTCGTTTAATGAATTGTGTTAGTATCCTTATGAGTTTTTTCAGAGAATGAATTGTTAGTCCCCATGTTGATCTTATTTAAATAAATTAAGTTTACTAGCCATCTGTGAAGCATCTGCAGCCAATCTAAAAACGAGTGACACTTATCTGGTAAATCAAATTTCTTCTAGTTAAGTAAACTCGAGAAAAATTAAGATTTAATGTCTTTCAGATTCATTTTACGTTTTATTTCTTTTCTATCTGATTGCAGCATATTTGATGGCTGATCAGGGTTATGACGTCTGGTTGGGAAATAACCGTGGCAATATTTACTCAAGAAATCATACAAGCATTTCACCTAAAGATAAATGCTTTTGGGACTTTAGGTAAGGAAAAGTATAAAGGAAAGAGTATTGTAATACAAAGCTTGACAAATTATATTGAATCCTATAGTTTCCACGAATTAGGTCTTTATGACCTTCCAGCTATTATCGATTATGTCATCGAAATTACCGGAAGTTCAAGGATTTTCTACGTAGGTCACAGTCAGGGTTCGACACAGTTCTTCGTGATGATCTCTACATTTCCTGAGTATAACTCTAAAATTATTCTCATGGGTGGCCTTGCGCCCGCAGCCTATACCAGCAACATACGTGGCCCAGTTACGAAACTGGCGCAACTGACATACCTTGGTGTGGTAGGTCATGTTTTATCTATCACCGTTCTATTAACGAATACACCCTGAACAATAAACATTGAATTTTAACACACTTACATAATGCATTATCAGTGGGTTGGAGAGAAATTTGGCTATCCGGAATTTGGGTCACGTTCTAATTGGGGCAAGTTCCTTGCGAGCTTTTTATGTCATAATGAAGCACTCACGCAGATTTTGTGTAAAAACATTTTTTTTCTTATTGCTGGTTTTAATGAAGAAGACTTAAATTTGGTAAGACTTTTTCTTTATTATATTTATTTAACTTGTTAATAATAGCAAACTAACATGTATTATTGTCCTCATTCTTATAAATTTCCTCATTGTTATAAATATATTTTATTTCTTTTTCCCTTTTTTGTGAATTTTCTTACATATTATAGGCTAATTTTCCGGTCATAATTGGGCATATACCGGCGGGAGCATCGTGGAAACAGTTTGTTCATTATGGACAGGGTTTCATCAATCCAGGTAATGACAACAAAAAGTCTTAGACGACCTGAAATTTTTATGATGCTTTTTAACCTACAGGTTACTTTAGGCATTTTGATTACGGAAACATTCAAATTAATTTTGAAATCTATAACGCTAGTGAACCGCTTGAATATAATTTGGAAAGCGTTACTACACCCGTCGCACTTTTTAGTAGCAACAATGACTGGCTAGCTACTCCAGAAGTAATGCAACGCTATTCAGATATATTTCACTTTTATGACTAAGAAATATATGTTTTTCTTTTTTTTCTATTTTAGGATGTCAATATGCTGCGAAAGAAACTGCCAAATATCGTCCTCGATTATGAATTTAGTATGAATTCATTCAATCATTATGATTTTATTTGGGGTTGTAGGGCACCCCACCTGGTTTTCGACACTTTACTAAATTTAATGGCAAAATATTTGTAGCTACATAGTTAGTTGATACTAGAATCATATAGCACGCACTTTACATATGCCGAATCGAAAACAAATAAACTATTTAAAAATAAATCGAATTAAGTCTTTTTAATAAATTTTTATAATGTTTCTACTATACCAAATATTTTCCAAACGATATATTCCGAGATATATTTCGAATGCCGTCAATACGAAACGTACCATAATATAGGCGTAGTACACTGAGGCCCGACTGAGACTTACAGTACCTTCAATCGGGTCCAGGTCAAAATGTCCTCGTAAAAATAACTCGGTAAAAATATCCTGATCAAAATTATCATATGCAAAAATATCTCGAATAAAAAATATCTTTAACCATAATATTCACCGCCATAACGTCTGCTATCTGTCTAAATGTCAAAATAACACAGTGTCAAAATAACACAGTGTTGTGAAACCAAATGTTGGATTTATGAGTTTGACCCCTGGAATGGGTCTCTTTGGTCGGAGTGAGTATTCAAACATTCTTTATCCTCTTTTGATTTTACTTTTCTTCTGTATTTATTTATCTACGCTTTCCTTTTTTCTATTACAGCTGGAATTCGTCAATATTCGCGAAATGTGAATGCGACGAAGGGTCAGGGCTGACCTTCGATTGCTAGTGGACTGGCACTGGGCAGAAAGAAGCAAGACAGAGTCAGATCTCTTCTGTCTCAACAAATTATTCGGGGAGGAGCCATTTGAACCTGAGAGTTGGTTTTAGCGGGTTTCGCAACTTTTGTATTTTGTAAAATATATGGTGTTTTCACCCTTTTCTTAAACTGCTTTCAAGATTTTTGCCTATTCCAGTCCCTTGTACTCCTATCCTTCTTAATTTAAGCGAAAAAATGCTTAAGGCGGTTCACATGAAACTTTATTAGCTTCTTATTTACTTCTATAGTGTAGTTCACTTTGGAATTCTTTTCCAATATTTCATAAGGTCCCGTCCATTTAGCAGAGAGCTTCTTGGAACGTCCTCGTCATAATGCCTCATCGAATAGAAGAACCTTGTCGCTTACTTTGAATTCATTCGCTTCGATCTTCTTATCGTAATGATCCTTAGACTTCTTCTTTGCGGCAATGAAGTTGTTTCGAGCGACTTGGTTTGCGGCTGTTAGCCGTTCTCGCAATTCTGATGTGAAGTCATCGTAGTTGTATGTGGATTTTGGTTCCCTTTTAAAGGTGCTAGGCAATAAAGCTGTAATGTTATCACATTCAATTTTTATTGTAACAAATATAAATATAGTTTTGATCGGCAATGTTCATGAAATCGGAATATATTTTTCTTCTACTAATATTTTTAATGTTTGAAAATATTTACGTGTTATTTTTTATCACAGTTAAGCAAGAGAATCATATGACAATGTCACGTTGTTATAAATCGCTAAACCCGCGTTTGTCAATGAAAACTACCTCAAAATCAGTTGACAGACGCACATTTCATTCATTCAACCACACGCACACAACATACATTTTTATAACAATATATTTAATTAATCAGAATCATTTTCAATGATATTACACACAATTGTAAACGATTATAAATGAAATTATATTACTTGAATATTTTATTTTCTCACGCTTTATGTAGTCTCGGGCGAGGAATGACGGGATTACCAATTTGTTGATAGATTTTGGTGCCGTCAACTAGTATTCTCAGGTATTCACCATAAGAGTAGTCCCAAGACTTTCAAGGGATTAAGGATGGCGTATGGACCCCGTCGTGCCCCGTTGGAATAGACACGTGGCATGTATTGTTCAAAGTGTTGTTAATGGTGCCGTATTTATAGCCCTTTTTCGTCCATATAGAGATAATTGATCAAAGAATGCGGAAGTAGAATTAGTAGAGGAATTCATGATGCTAAATTATAATTGAATCTAAGAAGTACCTGTATGAATACACACGATACAGGCGATACACACACCCTGTCGGTCGTCCAGAGCGGAAAAGGGACGATCGACAGGTGAATTACATGGATATTTGCTATTAAATAGAAGTAGGGATAATCCCCCGATTCGCCGGACATCTACTTAAAGATAGCACAACTAAGGTATCACATTGGCCTTTCCAGTTCTATCAAGAGACTCGATCGAGTCTCGCGCCAAGTACAGGCAATCCGCCGTACAGGGCACGGCCCGCCGAGACTCTTTACTCGAAGCATCTCTTGTACCTGTGTTTCGACTCAAATATTTAATGAACGGCTACGTGTGAGAAAAAGTTATTGATATATTCACTATAGGAATCAAGGTTTGTGAATCGATTGACACCAACTTCAATACGATTAGTGTACGAGATCAGGGTGTATTTACATAGCGAGCGAGATGATTTTATTTCAGGTTCGTCGTCGTCGTCGTCTTCGCACGTCCATCTACTTTTTTACACGACAGATGGCGCTGATTGCTTCGCCTTCTTTACCTATTTGTACTCTGAATGATGTTGGTAATTTACGAATACACAACACAATCAAATACACTTTGTACGTGAAGCTATGGTGCACAGCGCATTTCGAGTTAATATAACGCTGCTTTCACAAAAGTACAGAATTATTAAGGCTTTCATGTGGAGCGCGTGTGTATGGGTGTACGTATGTGTGTGCTTCGAAATAATTAGTAGTATAAGTTGGGGGTTTAATGGACCAGGCTTCCTGTAACCGACCCATACCGACACTCTAGAACCTTCGAAGATGTGTTTGCACGGTTTGATGATCAGCACGGGTGTCTGTGCTAATTTGCTGTCGTGAGCTCTACGATTTCCGGATGTGACGTCACCGAGACCCCTATTTTCTAGGAATTTATGGCGGATTCCAGGAATTTTGCGTCACCTTCTGGGAATTTAGCGCTCGATTCTAGGAATCGGACTTGATCGAGAACCTTCTAGAACGTTGTAGAACCTTTTAGAAGCTTCGGCGGTTCGTGTCCGTGCTAAGTCGCGAAGAATCGCACCCAGAGCCGGTGGTTCTCTCGCGCGACGTTTTGAGACAACTCCTTGCCCCCCGCCCCGAAGAGTCTTCAACAAGCTGCGATGAACCCCTCACATTTCGCAGAACTGCGCATCCCTGATGCGAAACTGCAGCAGAAAGTTTTTTCCACTAACCTTGAATCTTCTCGCGGAGATTACAACGTAGTATCGGTAAGAGAGAGAGAGAGAGAGAGAGAGAGAGAAAGAGAGAGAGCGGGGAGAGCGGGGAGAGCGGGGAGAGTGGGGAGAGCGGGGAGAGCGGGGAGAGCGGAGAGAGAGAGAGAGAGAGAGAGAGAGAGAGAGAGAGAGAGAGAGAGAGAGAGAAAGAGAGAGAGCGGGGAGAGCGGGGAGAGCGGGGAGAGTGGGGAGAGCGGGGAGAGCGGGGAGAGCGGAGAGAGAGAGAGAGAGAGAGAGAGAGAGAGAGAGAGAGAGAGAGAGAGAGAGAAAGAGAGAGAGCGGGGAGAGCGGGGAGAGCGGGGAGAGTGGGGAGAGCGGGGAGAGCGGGGAGAGCGGAGAGAGAGAGAGAGAGAGAGAGAGAGAGAGAGAGAGAGAGAGAGAGAGAGAGAAAGAGAGAGAGCGGGGAGAGCGGGGAGAGCGGGGAGAGTGGGGAGAGCGGGGAGAGCGGGGAGAGCGGAGAGAGAGAGAGAGAGAGAGAGAGAGAGAGAGAGAGAGAGAGAGAGAGAGAGAAAGAGAGAGAGCGGGGAGAGCGGGGAGAGCGGGGAGAGTGGGGAGAGCGGGGAGAGCGGGGAGAGCGGAGAGAGAGAGAGAGAGAGAGAGAGAGAGAGAGAGAGAGAGAGAGAGAGAGAGAAAGAGAGAGAGCGGGGAGAGCGGGGAGAGCGGGGAGAGTGGGGAGAGCGGGGAGAGCGGGGAGAGCGGAAATTTCGATAGATTACTTTATTGTTTTCTTTTGTTTTGCGTGTACTCTGCCGGAGTTCGAATAGGTGCTTGCTCGCCGTGCCCGTGAAGACGCGGAGAACGAGAGAGAGGGAGAGCCAGCTGGAGTCCCTGGAGGAAGGGAGCTGCGACGCGCGAGGGTCGACACTCGCGCTATCTGCGGACAGCAGCTTTACTGGCCCAGGAGGCGCGCGCAACGCGGGACAGCTTGACGTCACGCGGCAGCAAGGCGCTCTACTCAGCTGGTACTCAACCACGACGACTGGAAGCGGCGTACATAGCGCCACCCGACTGAGCACCACTACCGACCCCTATGGCATAGCGCCCATCGTCAGTTGCGCATTATATATTTCGCAGAATTATCTTTCCGCGAGTTGGGAATCCAGGGACGCCTGGTGCACCCTCGCGCAAGAACGAATGTTACTCTTTGTAGGACCGAGCTGTACAAATTGTCCACAAGAGATAAAAATTATTAATTGTCGCAATGACAAGTTCGAAACTGGCGCGTGGCGAAGACGCTGGGTTGAAGGATTCGTCCGCAGGGCGAATCGCCGCCCATTAGCCTAAAGGGAGGGGGTGCTATCCTTCACGCGAAGACAAAGCGCGTGAAGAAGAGATTCTTGCTTGGACACGCGAAGAAGTTAGACGTTAGACGTTTTGTTGAGTCGAATTGTTGAGTACGCGAGTGCACAAAGTGCCACTGGGCTGTCGATCGAGGTTTCTTGGATTACGCGACCAGGGAACCACACGGTAAGCGAGGATATCTAACTTTTGTGAGCGACGTAACTTCGTGCAAATCTTGGTGCCGGATTTTGTGTGTTTTCGTAAGTTTTGACCGCGCGTGTAACGGACACGCGGAGGGAAGATCCCTCACCCTCGAATTAGACCAAGGCACGAAGGTCCGTCGACCGGCAGGGTTCACAGTTAGTATTTTGTTTGAGAGTCATTATTGAATTCGAATTTTGTACGTTCTCCGAATTGTTTCGTGTCGTCCGCCCGTCAGGCATATGTAACTTTTGAGTTTGTAACGCGAAGAACGCGTACAGGTCCTGGACGGTCGGTTATCGTATTTTGGTAAACGCGGATTAGCCGTGTTACGATATTTGATTTGAATTCGTGTGGTACGCGACGTACCCGTTAATATTGTTTGATTGTATTTAGTTTTGTCTTTTCGATCTAGATTAATTACTATTTTTTTTTGTAATTCATCAATTCGGTATTGTCCGAAATCGTCGCGCTTCGCGCCGCCGATTTTCTTTAATAAACCGAATCATTTATTTGAGATCGAAGTGTCCGAATCTTTTTGTGTGTCGCGTGATCGTCTGAC